TTGCTATAGGCACTCAACAGAAGAGAGAGAGAGAAAGCCACCAGTCTGGGGCTTGAACCACAGTCAGTTATGTGAGAGTCCAGCACCTTAACCACCACGCTACCTGCTAGTCTCCACACGTTCTAGCTTTAAAAAATTAAGTCACGGGACCAGCAATTGGCGTAATGGCTATGTCGCTGGACTCCCATGTAGTCGACAATCGTTCAAGTCCTGGACCCGGTAGCTTAAACTCACACTGGGCATATGGGCATGCGTGCCCAAGATCCCGAGAGGAGAATGGAGAAGGGATTGCAGTGTGGCTTTCCCCCCTGGGGAGTGATTTCTCGCTTTCTCTGTCTCTTTCTGGCGAGCGTATGTGCCCTATAGCAAAAACTTCTCAAAAAAAAACAAAAAAAAAACACTTAAATCACATTTCCTGGTATTTTTCTATCTATGAGGCACTTCAGGACGCTGCCTTTATTCTTTAGAATCGCAGGGTGCTATGTAGTTTGATGCTTGTCTGCATTCATAACCTCAGGCCCCCAGATGATAGAGCTATGCCAGCTGTGTGCCTTGATGGAGCTAATACCATATCTAGAGTTACCTAACTGACATCCAAACAACTTCAGAGCTTAAAGCAATGATTTCTGTTCCTATGACACCCACAGGGACTCTCAAGGTATTTCAAAGAAAAATCAGAAATTCTCAAGTAAATCATGCCAGTCATACTCACATGCACTTACATAGGTCAGGCACGTAATAACTGCCACCTACAAGCACAGTCCTTCTGACAGAGGCAAAGCTGGACAGCGAATGGCTAACTGCATACCAATATCCTAGAAGGTAAGATGATCACAGTGATCGTTCGTACCATAAACTGGGTTAAAAACGAATCAATTCACACCTCACACATTTGGATCATAAGAAAGATAAAAAGGTTTGGGGGGGCAAAATCAATGAAGATATTTTTTTCAATAGGTAATTTTGTGCACAAATTACTGGTGAAACCAATGGGATATGACTCTGATTGCCTGGCTGATTCATTTAATCCGTCTTTATTCTTCTCTAAATCACGCTACACGCCTGTCTTTAGATGGAGAAATAGTTGTAGCGTCTCAGAACTTTTAATAGACTTACTGGTAGCTACTGGAGACGACTCACGATCAATACATACATTCATAATATTACGCACACGTACAGGTCAAGGGGTAAGAAAATGTTTGCAGTACAATTGTAATCAACCAAACCTCTTATAACTGGGCAGCTTGCTGACTCCTTGAGGATGTGTATTAGAAGGGGCCCAAGGGGCTTTTGATCTTGCAACTGTGTGCAAAATTCTCTTTTTTGTTTGTTTGCTTTTTGAGAGATTTTTGCTGTAGGACACATGCACTCGCCAGAGAAAAATCACCCACTGGGGGGATGGCCACCCTGAGTCCCTTCTACTCCATTCTCCTCTCAGGATGTTGGGCATGCAAGCACACACACCTAGTGTGAGTTTCAAGCCTCCAGGTCTGGACTCTACCCACAGTCGACCATGTGGGAGTCCAGCACCTGAACCACTACACCATCAGCTGTTTCACCACCCCCATGCCAGTACAAAATTCTTTTGCTTAGAGCAAATTCATTTCCCCGCCACCAGATTAAGGTGGTGACTAAGACCATGAACCCATCACTACCTAACTCTGCAACAATGGGCAAGTTTCTCATCCTCTCTCTGCCTCAGTTTCTCCATCTGTAAAAAGGAGAAAATAGTACTTACCACATAGAATTATTGTAAGGATTATGAGTTTAAAGGCAAAGTGTTTAGCATAGTACACAGACTAAGCACTCAATGAGTGTAAGTGCGTATTATTTATTATTCAGCCTTCCCGAGTTAGCAGCCACTGCAGAACTCAAGATTACTGATGAACTGGTCCAGCTGCAGCAGCCTCAGCGTCTGGGAGGATGGAAACCAACTTCAACACACCTGGCAAGGTTGCCTGCCTATAACCTGGATAATCAGGAGTCTGGGGCAGGAGACCACAACACAGCAAGACCCCATCAAAACACTCTCTCCACCGCCCCTCCTCATTTAAAAAAAAAAAAAAAAGAAGAAGAAAAGAAAAATACTACTGACAAACTCATAATCATGATGGCTAATTTAATGCATTTAATTATACACCATTATCTCAGTGTTATAGTTCGTTTGTATGGTAAATGGTCAGTATTAAACACGAGCTGAACAAGATCTGCATATCTGTTCCCCGCATATCTGACAAGTTTGGAATAGGTGGAAACTGCATTGGCAGGGTATCTGCAAATACTGGGCTGCTGGGAAAGTCCTGATTTTTTGTAATATGTTTTTCTATGCAAAAATGTGTCATGACTTTTCCAACAACCCAATACGTTGAGGCACTCCTGCTCGTTAGCTGGGTGGCCTTGGCTGAGTCATTTCACTGATCACCACCCCGCAACCCCATCCTAGGTGTTTTTCCCTGTAATATAGAGGGTTTGGACCTGGGCAAACTCTGTGATCGTACCTATTCTAAAAACCTGAGTTTTATGAAGGTGATGTCCCCCTTGATTCTCTGGGATACGACTGCATCTTCTATTTAAAGACCTCGACCAGCAAGACATGACAAAATCCTGACTAATAAATTTCCTAGACCCAGCCTTTCTCAGGAGAGCACATGCAAAATGCTAGGATGAAACAAGTTACATGGAATTCACATAAAAATCGCCACATATACCATTTTCATCGGGAAATTACAGGGAGAATTTGAATCTAATATATATGAGGAATTATTCAACCGTCTTTCAGTGAGTGAATGACCACGTAGGACAGTTTTGAACTCCTTTGAAGGCTAGCCTGAAGGTTATTTCTGGTGAGGGACAGGCACAAGAAATCCATCCACAGAAGGTAGGCACATCCTCCAGGGATGGGAAGACGCCATTATGAGATGCCTCAGGGGACCATCTGAAACGCTTTCAGTACGTGTCTGGGGAAAAAGGACTTCATTCTGACTGGATTTCTGACCTAGAAATTACCTTTCAAGACAAAGGGGCCAGATAATGGTGTAGCAAATGCTCTGAGAGGCTGACCCACACAGAAAGTTTTGGAGTTTGTGTCTCAGAGACTTTCTTAAGCACACGCAGGGCATGTGTATGCCCAGAATCCAGGGCTGGATGAGACTGATAATGGATTGTGGCATCAAGACCCTGGCTGGGTACTCACTCTCAAATACACACATGCATGTGCAAAGAGAAAAGTAATTCATTATATTTAAAAAAAGAAAGAAAGAAAGAAAAGTGAGGTAGTACGTAGAGTCATCTTTTTTGGAAGAAGAGTGAAGGGAGTTCTAGTAACTGAGACCATTGGGTCCAGGAAAGTTTAAGGAACCATAGGAGATTCAAACAGAAAGAGATATATTTTTACCCTTATGATATATATATATATATGATTTGGGGAGAAGTCAGAGAGAAAGATGGCTGATTTCTCAAGAAAAACACTTGTTTAAAATGTGCATGTTCTAAATCTAACACATTATCTATAAATGTCAGCAACAGCCATGATTAACTATGTTTTAGTATTTTATTTAATTTTATTCATTGTCATTATTTTATTTTATTTTTTTGAAGTTGACCAGAGACAGACGACAGAGAGAGACACACACAGAGAGAGAGAGAGAGAAGGAAAGTGAGAAAGCAACCTGCCAGGATTTGGACTCGAACCATGGTCAGTCATGTGGGAATCCAGCTGCCTTAACCACCATACCACCTGTCCGCCCCCCACAATTAACTATTACAGCATAGATCCAGAGTGTACTGGGCATTTGGGTTCTTCCCAATCAAGCAATTGGAAGCTTTCAGTCACCCCAAAGCTTCCCATTGTCTAAATAGTTACAAGTTTATAGTAGCAAGGATACACAATTTTACCAAATGGTTAGACTTTGAAGAACATTCCATTTGGACAGTGCTGGAGAATTCTGTTTTCAGGTGGGTTTCTCTTTAGTAAAGAGATCAAAATGTCGCCCCTACAAGCCAATGAGTCATTGAGGAAAAATTAGAGGAAACATGGAGAGTCCACTGCAAATTAACATTCCCCCCCTGGAATAAATAAATTGCTTTGACTCACCCTCTGGCCACAGAATCCTTGCCAACATCTTACAGCACAAAGGAGAGCCTGGCTTCCAGTAGGAACGGAACAACCATTATACTAACCCACACGATCACACCTGACGTTGTCCATCACTCCCTGAAATGTGTTTTCGACAAACTATTAATAATAAAAATTGGTCCTTAAGACAATAGCCTCGTGCTAATTTGAACACCCCTTGGGCTATTACAAATGAGCACATTGAAAAGCAACCCAATTAAACATTATGTCCATACACACAATCTTACCACCAAAGCATACATCTGCTCCTCCAAAAATTACGCCACCCTGGATTCTACACCATTCTGGATTTATAAAAAGCCGACAGGCGTGGATCTAAATTCTCAGTTCTCGTGGCTGTGGCCGCCCTATGCCATCTTCCCAGTGGTGGACACAAACGTTGATGCATTTGCTATTGCTTAAGGACACGAGAACATCGAAGGTGACATTTTTCACTTTCACCTTCTAAGGCTCTCCCCAGAACAGCCAGATGGACATCCACGCCTCCTTCTCCCACCAAAGGTGGACCCCTAACAGGAACCTGGCTCAGGACCCTCAGCGCCCAGCTCTGGGAAAGCCTCATCTGAGCCAGGGGGCCTGGGCGCCTCCAGCAGCCCGTGGACTCGGCGGAGGCCGCGCGGTCTCGTCGCTAATGCTCCTGAAGGACAATAGCTCATCAAGCCCCACCGAGAGCCCCGGACCCGTCGCGGAGCCTGGGCTGGCGGGGGATGAGGCTGAGCGACTCCTCCTAGAGGTGGTTATGTGGAGAAGGAGCAATCCCTTCTCCCTCCTCCTCCTCCCCCCGCTACTATCCGCGGCCCAGAGAACTGCCGCTTGCCGCCATTGACACGCAATCGCCGCCCCAGCAAGCGGCCGTTCCCCGCCATTGACACGCACAGATAGAACCCAAAGAAAGGCAAAGAGTCCTGCCCGGCACCGGCGCCGCGCGGGCCGAACCTGCGCCCGGGGAGGGGCGCGCAGAGGGCACCGGGCGCCCGGAGCAGGCGGCGCAGCACCAGGTGAGCCCGCCATGGCGATGGCATTATTGTTTGGGGGACTCCGAGGTCTGGAGACAAAACGCGCCACCCGGGCAGTGCCGGGCCGGAGAGGACCACCCCTGCCTCTCCCCCGGCCGCTGCGGGAGCACCCCGATAGCTGCCCCGCACCCTCCTGGAAATAAATTAATAAACCGAGCCTCCAACTTGCTTCCTCGGGAAATAAAGGAGGGGCTGCTTTTAAAAGCGGTAAAATTCCTGGGGCCAGCGAGGGGCCAGGGGCATCTCCGGCAATGAGAGCGGGAAGGAGGAGGGATGTGGGGTCCCACAGCGGGCCCCGAGCACGACTGCACCCGGAGGGAGCGGGAGGTTCCTGGGGATGCGGAGTTTGGGGCGCAAAAGGAGGAGGCAGGCGCCTGGCCGCGGAGGGGGACAGGGCAGGAGGCGGGGGCCTGCGCGGGGGCCGAGGGAGCCCGGGGAAGGCCGCTCGGGGGCCTCGGAGGGTGCCCAGGCTGGACGCCGGCTGC